GAGTAAAAACCTCACTTGAGAAGTGAGGTTTTTACTCACGAAAGCTTATGCCCAAATAAATCTGTTAGTCTTTAAGGTGCCACCAGACTCCTTGTTGTTACTGTGGGAAGTCACGTTCAGTTGGTTTGCCTACCATGATTTCTAAGTCCTTTTCAGAATCAATGCCTTCCGGAATACAATCCCCTATCCCATAAATGTGATCTATCTTCTTTGTTCCTATATATATGATGTTACATTTGACTGTATATCTACACATGCTGTTCATATGAGACCAGTTTACCAAACAATCCAGATGACTCTGTAAAACTGACCTGTCCTTATTCTTATTTATTACTCCGCTATTTAGTTACTAGCTTCTGTTCTCCAAACTTAACAGAGGGTGATGAAGAGGGCAATCCTTCATCTCCCGTGGCAACCCGAGCTGGTGATCAATCTGTGGCTCACTGGTCAATAGTCTCACTTTGACAACCTACCCATAGTTTGTTATACCTGAACTTGCAGTTGGCGAACTATGAGTGATCACCTGCTGAGGAGTTACAGAGCTGGAGGCTTTACTGGCATGGGGGGAGAGGGGAAGGTACAAAACAGCAGGAGGCAGAGAATGCAGCCTCACTTAATGATCCATAACTGGATCCAGACCTGCAAAGGTATAGTAGGGGGATCAAGACAAGGGAGGCCCATGGCTGAGGCATTTCTGGGGAGGGGTGCTAAAGATGGCAGAGCAAGGAGCAGAGAGGAGACTCAGCCAGTGAAGTAAGGATATTTGCCAGCCGAGGGAGCTGTCAGGTTGACAGCTGTCAAAGACAGTGTACTGTTAACTCTGACAGCTATTGATTGTGTCAGTGGGAGGCGACCATACTAGCACTCAGTTGAGTGAGATGCAATCAGGGTTTTACCTCTACAAATTACAGGGGTAACTCAATGATTGTGGCTGCCCTGATAATCAATTGAAGCATTTGTGTTTGGACACAGGTGTATTTCAATCAATTGAGAGGGAGCAACTGGTGTTTATGCTGAAAGTATGAGTTTAGGAACAGGGACCTTATCTCCTTATACGTCTGGGGCTTGGAAAATGTCCTCACCTACATGCCAGAAAACTTCCCCTGGCAAGCAGGTGAGGGCAGGTACATGTAGCCATAATGGGACACTGAGTGAGAAACGTGGTTTGTTCTTTGTGAGCAGGGCTACAGCTGCCCATCAAGTGTCAGTTACACAGACTCATTCTTTCCACTGGTGGGGGAAGGAGACACTGTCCTTTGCTCCTGGCTCTCTCTTTCCTTCTTGCACCAAGGAGTGAGCTGAGCCTCCCCGCCACTCTGCTGCTGCCTGGGGGTAGCTCCGTGAAGCTTATGCGAATCTGAGCAACTTACCTGCTGCTCAGACAAGGGAGAAGCCCCCGGCCCCGCTTCCGTCCCAGCAGCCGCGGGCTGGGCAGAGGGCAGCGCCGCTCGCTTTACTCCCAGCCGCAGGGAAGGGAGCGCCCCAAGCCCATCAGACCGCCAGAGCCAGGGGAGTGAGCAGCGGGGACACACCGCAGCGCATGTGGGGATGCCCAGTGCCTGGGGACCCCCCGCGGAGATCATCACAGCCTGGGGCATCCCCGGCCCATCAGCCTCCCCAGCGATACGGACAGAGCCGACGCTGGCCGGGGTCCCCCAGCGGCGAGGCGACGCCGCCTGCGCCCAGCCCGGGCTCCCCGCCCCCTCTGCGGCCGGCACTGACCTCTCCGCGGGGCCGCGGCCCGAGCCGGCAGCAGGCGGGCGGCGTGTCTGGCTGCGGTAACCAAGGGCGACACGGGCGCCGCCATCTTTCCGGCAGACTCCGTCCTCCCCCCGCCCTTCAAAATAACTTCACTCAGAGGAGAAGAAGCGGACAGAGCCCTCCCCGGCCGGGCCACTGCCGCCGTGCGTGACACCGCCCCCTGCGCGCCGCAGAGCCCGAGCTTTGCCCCGCCCGCTCTCCCTCCATTAGGGGCCGAGCCGCGTCGCGCAGGGACTACAAGCCCCAGCATGCAACGCGCCACCCCCGCCCGCCAAGCGACGGGGAGCCATGCGTGCTGGGAAATGTAGTTTGTTCTGGGCTGCAGGAGGCGCGGAGTGAGTGGCTAGGCCCGTGGTGAATCGCGTCCCTGGGAGTTATCGGCAGCCCCCTGCCAGTGCATTTGCTTGGTTACCCCTAGGAGGCTGGGACTGGTTCAGCTCACGTTGGCTAAGGCTAGGGTGACCAGATGTCCCGATTTTATAGGGACAGTCCTGATTTTTGGGTCTTTTTCCTATACAGGCTCCTATTACCAGGGCCACATTAACTTTTTGTGGGCCCCCCTGGGGAATGATTGTAAAAGCAGCTGGGGGCAAAAGCACATTGGGGCGGGAGCTAGGGTTGGTCCCTGGAGCAAGAGAGGGGCCAGGGGTAAACTGCAAGCACAGCGGGGCTGGGGAGGGGGTAAACAGGATCCCCTCCTCCCTGCCCACATAAAGCAGGTACCTACCTGGTTCTAGCCCAGGAGTAGGCAACCTATGGCACGCGTGCTGAAGGCGGCACGCAAGCTGATTTTCAGTGGCACTCACACTGCCCAGGTCCTGGCCACTGGTCCGGGGGGCTCTGCATTTTAATTTAATTTTCAATGAAGCTTCTTAAACATTTTAAAAGCCTTGTTTACTTTACATACAACAATAGTTTATGTTCAGACTTGCATCTGAAGAAGTGAGGTTCTTACCCACGAAAGCTTATGCTCCCAGTACTTCTGTTAGTCTCAAAGGTGCCACAGGACCCTCTGTTGCTTTTTACAGATTCAGACTAACACGGCTACCCCTCTGATACTTAACAATAGTTTAGTTATATATTATAGGCTTAGAGAAAGAGACCTTCTAAAAACTTTAAAATGTATTACTGGCACGTGAAACCTTAAATTAGAGTGAATAAATGAAGACTCGGCACACCACTTCTGAAAGGTTGCTGACCCCTGTTCTAGCCCATTCTCTTTGTCGCTTTCTGCACTGAGCTGTCCCTCCTCCCGCAGCAGCAGGACAGGTTCTCTTCCAGCCCTCTGGAGTGGGTGTTGGGAGTGGGAGGAGCGGAGGTTAATGTGGTTACTCCTATAACTGGACATTTAGTTTCCAGTCAACACTGCTAACCGGACACTCAGGTCCCATTTTCTACTGGACTTTCCAGTCCAGAAAAGCACGGGGTGGGGGGGAGGAGGAAGGGAGCAAGTGCTGGGTGGGTTAGGGAGTGAAGGGGAGCTAGTAGGCATGGCCATGTCTGCTGTACTGCCCAGGTAGGTTGGAGACTGTGGGGATCAGCTGACACATAGCCCAGGTGATGTGACAGCCAGTGGTGGATTTAGAGTTAGTGGGACCCCCCCCTCCCCCGGCCCTGTGCTCAGCTTCATTTTTGGGGCCCCTCCTTGGGACCCAGCCAAGAAAAAGAACATTCTCTCTTATCTCCCCCCGACCCCGTTTTTCATTCTTTTTTTCTTCATCCTCCTCCTATAAGTAATAGCAAGTAAATGAAAATAAAGTGAGGTACCTTGATTGTTCCTGAGTGTAACTTATTTTTCCACAGACCACTTGAAAATTGCGGAGGGTCTCGATGGACCACTTAATGATCTTTCCAAATGTTGTTTGTACCTTTAGCTAACTATTGTAAAGTGCTTTGGATAAGAGCGCTTTATTAAAAAAATGTAAACAAATGTTGGGGTGTGGGGTCTGGCCAGGAGCTAGGGTGAGGGAGGGGGTTCAGGGTTGGGGCATGAGGTTGGGGTGTGGAGCGCTTACCTGGGGCAGCTCCTGTTTGGTGCGAGGGGTGCAGATGGGGATGTGGTGGGGGTGCAGGAGTCAGGGCATGGGGCGTGGCGGGGGCTGGGTATGTGGG